CACACACACACACACACACACACACACACACACACACACACACACACACACACACACACAAACACACACGCGCGCGCGCACACACACACACACACGCTGAGTTACATTCTTAAGGGGTAATCTAAAACGAACAAGAGTACTTGGACAAATGGAAGAAAGAAAAAGGCTGAAGAGACAAAGAAAAAGTTCAGATGAACACAGTGGAAGAAGGAAAGAACTCTATAGAAGAATCTGGAGACAGCTGCACTAGAGTCATTACCTTTAACAGTTTGAAGGTTGAGAAACACAGGGCAGGTGAACACAAGCTTTGTGCTGCCTTGCATATGTCGCACAGAAACGACATTCCCTCTAAGTGTTGTCACTTGATCTCCTGATCCTCCAGTGGCCTACCAAAACACAAATTCCAACCGTACCAAGAGAAGCATTTTAAGATATCAAACTATAGGACATTGGAAAACAACCAACGAATATAAGAAAGGTCATACAATTCGGTTTCATGACTTGAATGAGGTTATACGTTACCAGCATTGCCTGCCGGGCAGCCAACGCCGGCAGGTCGGATCCCATCCACAGCAGGCAGCCCAAAAAGAAGGACGGAAAATTTAGTTCAAAAAAAGTATGACCGGAGATTAGCCTTATCAGTCAGAATTCAGCTTTATCTCTGAATTTGGCAATGGATCACCATGGGGCGGTCGGGAACTCGGGGGAGTGAAAATTGGGTTAAAAGGGGTACAAAAGGGTTTTAAAAACTTTAGACACTAGAGTGGTGTACCTTAATTTGAAGGCTGTTTTTTTCCGGAAAACGAGCTTTACTCAGTTACTGTTATAATAAGTGGGATCCAGGTTCAGTTTCCCTTACATCAATGACCCACTCTACGCTTCCTTCCATTATGGCTGAAGGACCCTCAGGCTGCAGCATTGATTGCTTCCTCGTCGAGGAAGGACTTACCACGACTCCACCCCTGTTGGGAGATCCTCCTTCCTTCTTTCCTCTTCTCAGCCTGTGAGGCTGTCTGAAAATTCTGTGTCCAACTAGAGCTCAAATGGTGCTGATTCGGAGTGAGCTGATGACCTCAATTGCTTCCTTCCTCTTCCGGGCAGGAACAACTGCTCTTCCTGCTCGGATTGAAATCCGGATATTGAGACGATGGCATTGATTGCTCCCCTCTTGGGAAGCATTTACCATTTCTTATCCTCAGAATCCCCTTTCTTCTACCAATGGCCGTAGCTCAGTTGGTAGACCCATGAGCTGTTGAACTGCAGACCCTAGTACGAATCCAAATGCAATGAGACGAACAGAATAACATAATTCTCAATTACCCGGGGCCACTCAGTTCAATAACTATATCTCAAGGCTGTCGCCTTTTTTTTGCCTTAAAAATAAAAACTTAAAAAAAGTCCCCTTCTTGCTGTGTCTGGTAAAGTAGACCACTGCTTTACCCTTCCAAGTTCCCATCATCTTTCTGCACCTGCTTAAGGTGGTATAAAGATTAAGATAGGATGTTCCCCTGTCCGTAGCTGCTGGCTGCTTGTTGGCACTTAGTCCTTGAAAGAGCCCCTCCTCACACCCTTGTCCAGTCTATGAAGTATTCAGTTTCCACCATTTGTAACATCCGTTCCCATGCTTGCGCTGCGGCACTCGTTCCTTGGCATTTTGTTTTCCATATTATCCACAACACTAATGCCCTCACCCTCTGAAAGACCTTGGTTTCATAAATTTGTACCCATCCCATCACTTTGGTGTCAGAAATCCTGCCAGTCTGATTAGAGTGTCCTCTGGGAAGGGCTTCTCCGTTACGGTTTCCCAAACAAAGCCTGACCGCTCTGGCCCACCTCTTGAATTTACTAAGGAACTCCAAACTGACCCTCAGTCAAAATTTTTGGTACTGTAATTGTCTACAACATTTCTTGTGACATATCTATAAAGCATACTTGCGGCGCATTAGCGCGGTGCGCTGCGCTGTGCGGCATCACCGCGCGCGCTCGCGCACGAGGTGCGCCGTGCGCGCAACGCATGGGGACGCGCTACCAGTGCAAGGTGCACACTGTGCGCGATGCCTATTTCCGGCGTGTGTGTGTGTGTGTGTGTGTGTGTGTGTGTGTGTGTGTG